CAGAGTGAGACTCCAACTCAAAAAAAAAAAAGAATTTCAGAACAAGGCTGGACACTCAGTGGGCCCGCACTCAACACTTGTGGAACTGATGATGAGTGGTAAGTTTTTTTTGTGTGTTTTTTTTTTGTTTTTGAGTTGGAGTCTCACTCTGTCGCCCAGACTGGAGTGCAGTGGCCGCTCCTGGCCACCACAGCCTCGACCCGCTGGGCTCCGGCAATCCTTCCGCCTCAGCCTTCCGAGTAGCCAGAATTACAGGCGCGCGCTACCGAGCCCGGCTAATTTTTTTGATTTAATGTAGAGATGAGGTCTCGCCTGCCCAGGCGGGTCTTGAACCCGCGGGCTCAGGCAATCCACTCACCTCAGCCTCCCAAAGGCGCGGGATTACAGGCTGAGCCACCGAGCCCGGCCGAGTGGTAAGTTTTGATCACAAGACACCAGGTTGGAGAGGCTGGGGGTGGGTGGCATCTTGGTGCCCGGGCACTTGCTGTCTGTCTGCTTAGGAGACTCCACCCAACTCTTCCTGCGTCACCTCCTCAGTGAGCCCCCAGATCAGCACCATCTAAGGTAGCTTCTCGGGCCCTCCTAGCCACTCCCCTCACCTCTTCATTTGCCTAGGGCTTTCCCTACTGAGGATGTTTCTCTTGTATCAGTGTTTCCACATGGCAGTCTCTTTCGTCTCACTCAGAGAAAAAGCAAAAGCCCTTGCTGTGGCCTGCAAGCCTCCTTTGCCCCTTGGTGCCTCCACCTCACTTATCTCCAGCCACACTTGCCACCTCACTGCCCTGGAGCCTCCTGGCCTCCTTTGCACCCCAGCTTCCTCTACCCAGAACATTCTTCCCCCTGAGACCCGCGGCTGCTCCCTCTCTCAATCTAGGTCTTCACTCAGTGCCACCTCAGGGTGGCCTTCTCTGGCCACTCTCTTTAGCCTGCCACTCAACTCCAGAACTTTCTCTGTGCAGAAAAGAGTCAACATAGCAGGCCCGAGATTGCTGTCCTTAGGCCTGCTTGCACAGTTGGCCCTTGGCTGCTGCATGGGAATCTGGATTTCAGGAAGGTCTTATCATTCCTTGATAAGAGTGGCTCACTGTTGGTGCCAACAACATTCTTTATGCCAAGCACCTGCCTTCCTTCTGGGAGTCGCATTTGGCCCAGACTAGACAGAAGGTGCTCACGCAGCCACCCCAGCGAGACCCTGGATACAGCGTCTCTCACGGGTTTCCCTGATTGACATTTCACACAGTTTCACAAACCACTGCTGGAGGAATGAGGCGCATCCTGTGTGACCCCCTGGGGCAAAGACTCTGGACTTGTGCCGGGCTTCCTCTTGCCTCCACCCCACATGCTTTTCCTTTTACAGACTCCACTTCTGTCCTTTCCTGATAATGAGTCATAGCTGTGAGGACAACTACATACGAAGTCCTGAGTCTTCTAGAAAATCACTGAGCCTGGGGGTGGTCTCGGACCCGTCCCTTTTCAACTCTGTCCTCCTCTTCAGCACGGTCACCACTTGCCATCCTGTAACAGTGTACCCGTATGTCCTGCTTACTGTCTCTCCCACACTCGGGCCCCTCATGGTCTCTGCACTATTCCCAGAACTACCCAGATACCCACAGAAGCGTAGAAGACACCAGGGAAGTCTTTGCTGAGCGACACCTGTCACCATTTTATTTCTGAAGGTGGAATCCCCCCGGCTTGTGATGGCATGAGCGCCTTTGGCCGAGCGGCAGAGCTGTGCAGGACGGGGTGGGCAGGGATGAGGCAGCTGGCCCAGGACGCCAGCAGTTCTTTGGAGACATCTCACACTGGCTCCATCTGCAACTCCTCCCCATCCACAGCCTCGATCTGATGGAAGGCGGCATGGGAGCCGATGACCACCAGAGTGGCTCCTGCAGGAAAATGGGCAGTTCAGGGCCACGCTCTCACACTCGGCCCCTGCCCCCCAGACCCTGTACTCACCCAGCACCCAGAAGACGGCTGAGCCTGCACCAGCCAGCCAGAAGAAGGGGAAGGAGACACCTCCAGCCAGAGCGTACTGATGGGCTGGGCTCACCTCTCGGCCTGGGGGCAGACAGCACCAGGACAATTGTTCAGACCCTCTGTGCCCTCTCCCAGACCCAGCTGTTCCCCAACAACTTGTCACAAATTCCGGGAGCCTCAGAGTAATTCAAACTGCTCATGCCAAGGCCCTCCAAGTTCCGGCCCCACCCTGTTACCATGATGTCCCCACTGCCCTCCAGGAACACATTACACCCTCCTCACCTGCCTCAGCTCCTGCTACCTGCCGCCTGCCCTGCACCCCTAGGAAGTTCCCAGCCTTCCGCTTCCCTGGACTAGGGCTCTCCTGTGCCGGCACTCACAGACACCAGGAGTTTCAAACTGGTGGCCCACGGGCCAAGTCCGACCTATTGATGGGTTTTTTGAGACGTTTTAGAAGAATTTGACTTGTGGTTGACACAGTGAATGATTTCACATAAAAACATAGACTTGCCAGGCTCGGTGGCTCAGCCTGTAATCCCGTGCCTTTGGGAGGCTGAGGTGAGTGGATTGCCTGAGCCCGCGGGTTCGAGACCCACCTGGGCAACTTGGCGAGACCTCATCTCTGCAGTAAATAAAAAATTAGCCGGGTGTGGTAGCGCGCACCTGTAGTTCTAGCTACTTGGAAGGCTGAGGCGGAAGGATCGCCGGAGCCTGGCAGGTCGAGGCTGTGGTGGCCGGGAGTGGCCACTGCACTCCAGTCTGGGTGACAGAGTGAGACTCCAACTCAAAACAAAACAAAACAAAACGCAGAATTCTGTTTTTCTCAAAGAAGACTGTAAGATCGGGTCTGCAAGCTCCAGTGACAGCGACTGGCTTAAGCCAAGTCACGGCTGTGTGTCAGGTACTCACTCCACTCCAGCCTGTCTTTGTCAAGGACATAACTTGCAGGCCCCTGAAAACTTTGCCTTAAATGATTGATCCCAACCCTGAGCCCCGCCTTCAACCTTGACTTTCCTCTGGGGGGAATTTCCCGACATCTTGTCTTCCCAGTGGTGCTTGCTGCCAGTCTGGAACCACTTGAGCCATGGTCCTCAGTTTCCTTCTCTAAGTCCCAAGATCTTTCTGGTCCCATCCCAAGAAGCAGAGGAAGGGAGGGGGACCGATGTAGGTCAGTGTAAAGTCGCCATCTGGTGTCTGACTGGGTACCTGCAGCTGATGCTTGCGCAGCGGTTCAGGGAGGAGGGAGGGGGAGGAGTCAAGTGGTTTGGAGAAGAGGAGGTTTTGGGCACAGCAGCCTGGTGGAGGGTGGGTTCTGACGTATTTCATTCTGGGTTTGGGGGGCTGACACTTAGTGGGAGGACTGAGTATGTCTGAGATTGTAAGGGATCAGGTTTGGGGGAATCCTGTACACATCTAGGCTTGGGTTCAAAAGAACTTGGGTTTGGGTCTGAGGTTTTCATTCCAAAAGACCAGGATTTGAGGGGTCAGGGGTCCATCTGGGCAGGGGATTTCTCACCAAAGAGCACAAGCTTGGACTGCAACGTGCGCAGATAGAGAATGTAACAGGCGCCGAAGAAGACAGCCAGAGCCACTAGCAACATGGGAGATGTCACCCTGGGGGAAGAGTACAAGAAGCAGCGGTCAGGCAGCTGGGGCCGGGCCAGCCAGGTGGCCCTGGCCTTCTACACTGGCAGGTGGCAGGCAACATCCTAGAGGCCAGGGAGGGCCGGTGACACTAGTCCCCCTGCCTCCATGCCAGGCTGATGGAGGAGTAGACAGAGACCTGGCCCTTCGGTGACAAGGTCCGGCCGCACCAACCCATGGGGGCGGGGCCCGGCCGGTGAGAGGAGGGGCGGGCCGGCGGGGGGCGGGGTCTGACCGGCGGGGCGAGGG